GGCACCCCCCCCCCCCCACACCAGCGGGCGGGTCTATGACAGCCTGGGCTCAGAGGAAGTGGGCGGAATGATACCAGCGACCCAGAAGAAGGATGAGATTCAGCAGCAAGGAGGAATTACTGCGATGGAAAACTGCAGATTGGAGCTCCGGTCGTCAGGCGGTAGCGTTGAGAGGTCCTTCATCCTGCACTGAATGGGGCTCATGCAGTGCAGTTGTACTCTGGGTCCAGGCAGCGTTATGACAGACCCCCGGGAATGATACCAGATGTCATGCAACCCAGAAGAATGAGGACATCCCATCATATAAAGGAATATATTGCACTGGACTGCTCCTGATTGGATCCCTGGTCGTGATCCCGCCCCCATCCTGTCATCCTGTACAATGCAAATGCTGTCATCCTTCTTTGTTCCTGATGGCCGAATGGATCAGCAGCAAGGGAGCAACGTTCAGTAGGGGGCCATCAAAGTGAATGCTTTGCCCTTTGCTGGCCGCTGTCCTGCGCTGGATGATGAAGGGACACGTTGGTGGTCGCTGTCCTGCGCTGGATGATGAAGGGACACGGTGGTGGCTGCCGTGCGCTGGTGGATGTGCGCTGGATGATGAAGGGACACGGTGGTCGCTGTCCTGCGCTGGATGATGAAGGGACACGTTGGGGGTCGCTGTCCTGCGCTGGATGATGAAGGGACACGTTTGCGGCCACTGTCCTGCGCTGGATGATGAAGGGACACGTTGGTGGTCGCTGTGCTGCGCTGGATGATGAAGGGACACGTTGGTGGTAGGAAGTCTTACAAACAAAATGGCGCGGAGTATATTCTCGTACGTCTCTGTTACCTAGACGGAGTTCGGCTTTTAAATATGGAACAGCGAGCGCGGTGATCTGAGCGTCCTCTCCGATAACACGTCGCCGCCCCTTTAATGGTGTTTTGGCATTTCACGAATCTCCGGTAATTCTTCTGACATTAAATCCAGCAAAACCTCAACCGTGATTCCCAGGACTCGGGGGTTAAAACACAAGCCGGGGCCCCCGGGCCCTCATGAATGTGAAAACCTTTATTCGTAGTGACAGGTGCACTTTCGGAAACCTTTCTAAGTGCTCAGACGGGGAGACGCTCTCTCTCTCTTGGCGCGCCGTCAGTCTTAAAGTGCGTTGTGTGTGCATTTGGCTGTTACCTCCCAGATGGACGGCGATGGCTTTTCTGTGTCACATCATCCCGCGATTCTCCTCACCTGGCGGCCCCTCCTCGCGGTGC